CNTTCTTTCCAGCTTTTGAAGAAAAAAGGACAGTTATTTTGAATGTCATAACTGGTAAGCAGTAGATTACTTGAGATGTCAGTAATAGTACTTTCGCCGAAGTATTTATCAAGAATGAATTCTATGTTTTGATGTGAGTACTGAGCACCATTAAGCCATGAAGCGATCGATTTTCTCCAAACCGATGATTTAAAAATATATGGCCCATATTCCTTGTAAAGGTTCACTAAATCATTAGCTGAATATTTTTGGCTACACAAGCCTGCTGCAACTATTCCACCTGTTGAGGTTCCTGCCATCAGGTCAAAGATTTGGAAAATAGGTTTTTTTGATCTTNAGGGGTTTTGCCACTTTTTCCTTGTTTTGTAGGGGGGGGCTATATTTTCATGTGAATATTGTGCGCCATTAAGCTACGAGAAGATCGATCTTCTCCAAAATGATAATTTAAAAATATATGGCCCGTATTCCTTATAAAGGTTCACTAAATCATTTGCTGAATATTTTTGGCTACACAAGCACGCTGCAACTATTCCACCTGTTGAGGTTCTTGCCATCAGGTCAAAGATTTGGAAAATAAGTTTTTGATCTTTTTTTTCTATTTTTTTCTATTATTGCTGGTATTATTCCTCTTATGCCTCCACCATCAATGGATAAGATAAATTTAGTTATATGTGCACACGTTTCTTACTTTTATTAATATGTTTGTTTTTATCTGGCTGTGTTTGTACGAAAATCATAGTTTGTTTTACTCCTCAGGAAAAATGTTCTATACATATAATTGATGCAATAGACAAATCTCAAAAATCTATATTAGTTCAAGCATATACGTTCACTTCTAAGCCAATTGCAAAATCTTTGATTCGAGCAAAGGAGCGTGGTGTTAGTGTGGCAGTTATTTTGGATGAGTCTCAGCTTAGCTCAAAGTACAGTGTTATAAGTTATTTGTTTGCACAAGAAATACCAATATACATAGACTATAAACCAGCCATTGCTCACAATAAGGTGATGATAATTGACAATAAAAAAGTACTCTCAGGTTCCTTTAACTTCACTCATTCTGCAGAATTTAGGAATACTGAAAATCTGCTGATTATTGAGAATAATGATATGTTAATTAGGAAGTACATAAAAAATTGGAAAAATCGACAATCTCACTCCAAGCTCTATCAACCCGTGAAAGAGTAGTCATTTGCATTTTGAGTTGTTAATCTTAAACTAATCGAGCTCTTCCGATAAAATTTTTACCCTTTCCTCAAGTATAGTACCTTTTTATTAATCCATATTCTATAATCTTATCGTGAATTTGCACTTTTAAATCAAGCTTGGTTAACCACTACATGATAGTAATGGTCTGTATTATCATCGTTATTATTACTGTTAATGGAACTTTTTAATTTTGCATAAATATGAGTTTGTTATGTAATGATTATCCAGCTTATATGCAAAAATTTATGATTTTAACTTATATTTTTCTTCTGCTTCAACAAGCAGCTTTGTTAGCTCTCCATATGACTTCTTTTTATTGTTTCTTAATTCCATTACAGCTGTTCTTCTAAGGCTTTTCGATTACTATCCTTGGTGGCAGGATCTGCCCCTTGCTCTAATAGAAACTTAATAAATTCCAAATGTCCTTTATCTGGAGTAGAATGTAGCGCTATCGACTTAAATTTATTAGCTGCATTAACATCGATACCTCCTGCTACTAAAGAACTTTATGACTTCTAAACATCCATTTCCCATAGAATAACGTAATGCCTCTTTGTAATGTTGACATCACTTTTTTATCAAAGATTTCACAACCCCTAAGTCACAATTTCTAGTTACGATCTCTAATTCAGTATTGTGATTTTTTACTTTCCCTGTAAAACAAAGAAGAACATATACTATAATAGATAGTACCATTACATTAATAAATGTATACCATCATTACAAAAAAGTCTTCTCATATAAAGATGGATTACAACTACTCTTAATCAAAAAAAAGAAATAGAACTTCACTTGTAAATAGTGATCAACCTTTGCAAAATTCAACACTTCCAAATGTAAGCGGTCTGTCTTCTTCGTATATAGATAATGATTTGCCCGCTTCAGCGGTATAACGCGTTGAGACGTAACAAGACAAACAACTTAAAAGAAGTAGGCGTATGAAAAGAGTCTATTGAACACTCTATACTTTTTTTTTGTTTATACCAGAAAAAAGCCTACCGACAGAAAAAATCGGTAGGTCGCAATAACCTTCTTATAGACTTCGAGTGAAATTCCACTAGAAGTAGAAACATCTTCTAAACGAATATTAGGTGATCTTTACTTGGAGTCTTTGTAAAATTTTTATTTATACTAGACCCAAACTCCCCATTATTATCACTAATAAGCAATGCACTACTTAATAATAATGCTTGTTGCTTTTTAGCAACGTCTATAGATTCTGTAGAGAAACATCTTTTGTCCAGTAATTACTCTTGTCATCATATCGAATAATAGCAATGTGTCATTGCACTATACTATTAAAATCAACATGTGGTGCTATTATATTATGTTGAGAGACATAAGCCAATTGTGGTGCTTCTATATATCCAGTATCAGCAAGTACTTGCGTTAATCTCTAGGTACTGTTGCTAAATTTATAGATTTAGTGGTGAATACGTAATGAACATCATGACTTTCAAGAGTATGGTTATTTTGTGTAGTCTTTTCTTGAATAAAATTAGAAGAAGTTGTGTATCTATAAACTTAGTAGCATCCTCCTCAACATCACTACTTCTAAGAGCCGACCTTGCCTTTTATCTCTTTTGTCGAATATTTTCTTAAGTCTGGTTAGAAGGAGTGTGGAATTTGTAGATTCAGTGGTATATTGGACATCACTACTAGCATTCTCTCCTTTCATCCAATTTATAATGCTTGCACGATTTGGACATTATTCCTGAGCAACCTCCAAGGAGTTTGCTTTAATTGTTTTTAGAGCTAGTATCGGACCTGTATTAGAAGAATGAGCGGCTAGATACAATGTGATGTACTTATTATCACCCTTATCGTTAACATTAGCACCTTTTCTATAAGATACTTTGCTATATCTAGACGATCTTTACTAACAGCTCCATGTAGGGGTGTGTTGTGATTATCATTGCCAATATTAATGATATTAGGATTATTTATCTATAATAATTTTAGTTACCCCTAATTAAGCTTTTTAGCAGCCACACATAATATGGTTTACCATTATTAGTTAGCGTAAAATCAATACTTGGGATATCTATAAACAATTTAATTGTATCCACATTACCTTCTTGAACAACTTTATATAAGGTGTAAAACCCATATTATTTTTAGAGTTAATATCAGCGCCTTTTGCTATTAGATACCTTATTACAATGAATTTTTTTAGGGGAGTTTTTGAATAAACTATCACCATAAAGGTATAAGTCTTTCTTGTAAATATTAGCAGCATAGTGCAAGATGGTATTTTCATCACGATCCTGAATAACATAACATCAGCGCCTTTTTCTACAAGATACCCTACCATATCTAAGAAGGAAAATAACATATCCAAATAAGGGAATCCTTCCATTATTACCTTTAGCATAAACATTAGCACCTTTTTCTACAAGATGCCTTACTATATCTAAGTCGCTAGAAGAATCAGCAACTTTATGCAAATGGGTCTATCTATGATCTTTAGCATTAAGATCAGCCCTTTATCTACAAGGTTCTTAACTCCATTGTAATTTACTACGTTTATAGCACTAAGTAATTCGTCATTTATACTCATTAACACTCCTTGTTTAACAGCCTCACCTCACACAAGGTGGTATAACAACATATTTTATAAATCAATCTCCTTATCACTAAATTTTTTAGCAGGAACTAAATCTCTTCAAATGACGATAGAAGAAATGCAATAATCTACCTTGATAGATATGGTAATGATAAAACCACCATAGAATTGACAAGCAATGTACATATTATCAAAAAAAGGTTGTTATGTAGAATGGATCTTTAAAGAAAACTTGCATGTCGCTCATTCAGAATATACAATGAGCAATTCTAGAATTAGTAGGTTATTTATGAATCTTATAACAAAGTCCGCCATTGATTTTACAGCTCCTGCTGTTCTTCCAAATGGAGACATTATTGATGATTTTCGTTTAAGCAAGTATATCGAAGATAAGTATTCTGTTCTTTTCTTTTATCCACTTGATTTCACTTTTGTGTGTCCCACTGAGATAATATCATTTAGTAATAAAATTAATGATTTTTCGAAGCGTGGGGTTGAAGTAATAGGGAT